AAAATGTATTTTATTTATTATTTTTATTTTATGTGTATGAGTGTTATGCCTGCATGTAGGTAAGTGCACCCATGTCGTGTAATGCTCGTGGAGGACAGAAGAGGCTGTCGGATCCCCTGGAACTGGAGTTACAGACTGTTGTTAGCTGCCACGTGGGTGCTGGGATTTAAACCCAGGTCTTCTGCAAAAACAGTGTTCTTAACCGCTGAGCCATCTCTCCAGCCCCACATCTTGAAAATTTTATAGGCTGTTCATCTTAAAATTATAGTTGACTGGAAACTATATGTTTATTATATATTTTTACATTTCAGCTTAAATTACAATAGGTAACATCTATATGTATGTAAATATAATATTGTTTCTACATTTTAGAAATACACCGCTATAAGCTTATAAAATAAACTGAAGTGAACATCTTGAAAATTTTATAGGCTGTTCATCTTAAAATTATAGTTGACTGGAAACTATATGTTTATTATATATTTTTACATTTCAGCTTAAATTACAATAGGTAACATCTATATGTATGTAAATATAATATTGTTTCTACATTTTAGAAATACACCGCTATAAGCTTATAAAATAAACTGAAGTGAAACTTACATGGGCATCTCGACATTGGAGAATTGTAACTATGATGGTATAGATTGCCAAACAAGGGTGAAGTGTCCAAGTTTCCAGATATTTATAATGAAATAATACAGGAGGAAAAATGAAACAGGATAAGTGTGTCCCTCTAGAGGCAAAGCAGACTAAAAATATTTTCAGATTACTGGCTCAGCAAATTTGCTCATTGGAATAAAAAGAAATCACCATTCTGTGCAACTTGTCAAGTTCCACAAGGCTTTGTCTTCTTTTTTTTTTTTTTTTTTTTTTTTTTTTGTTTTGAGACAGGGTCTTACTATGGAGCCCAGGCTGACCTTGAACTCGTAATCCTCTTGCTGTACCCTCTCAAGTGCTGGGATTACAGGTGTACACCACTAACCCCAAACTTCATGAGGGTCTGAGTACGTATGTGGATTCTGTTGCTCTGTTGTGTTTTTGGAATACCTACTGTCAACCCAAATCTCCTATATTTCTTATATAATTACATAGATACATAATTTTGAGTAAAAAAATTTATTGGAAGATAACATTTGTGAACATATTTTAATACAAAACAAGAGCATCAGCCACTGTGAGACTTCCTTTGTTGCGATTAAAGTTTTACAAGTGTGTAAGTGTATCACAGTTGGGAAAAAGCCCCTCACCCCGTACTAGGACATGAACCTAGAGCTTGGCAAATGCTACCCAAGCAAACATTCCACCACTGACCTACATTTCCAAGCCCACCCTAGGACAAGGCTTTTAATGAATAAATATTGATTAAATGTGGCTGGGATGCAGTTAGCATAAAACCAAGCAGATCACATCTGTGCTAAAACTTACACTCTATCCGAGTGCCCTGTGTCATGTATTTAAACCAAATAATGGAGATGCATGGAGAGCAGACTCACGGTACAGTTTTGGCAGATTGGAGAGCCCCTGCAGTCTCTAAGGAGGGGCGGTGGAAACTGAGGCAACTCATTTCTTGACTGTGCAGCTATTATAGTGTTCCTTTAGTCTAGGTGGGATCAGGCAGGAACCGAACAGCTGACCTGCTGGCTAGTAAAGCTTTAGTTCTGTCTTCATGTATTTACCTAACAAGTAATGTAGCAATCTGATCCTACTACAAAGTCTATAGGCTGCCTGAAAAATTCTCTGATACTCACTTGATGGAATTAATAGCTGGAGTGCACCTGAAACTCCAACAATGCCCTACACATCCTTATAGGATTTTTGTAATTTTAATTGCATCAAAAAAGTCTTTTATATATAAATGGATATTTGCTAATAGAAAACTACATAGGTTTTTCTATTTAAATGAGCAAAAGATGAAGAAGTATGCTAAAACGCAGAATACTGAGTTGAGATGGTGAGGCAGATGACATACGAGGCAGAGCTTTGTGCAGAGCTACACTCCTGGAGACTCTTCAGGTCACCAATAGCCATTTGATTTTCCTCATGTCTAAACTGGTCTCTGGCAATAATGGATCAGACTGCAGGAAGAACCCAATATTCTCATACAGCAACTTCTCTGGCCTGGCCAGCTTTGTGCTCTTCCACAGTGATACCCGAGGAATGTTTCACTAAGTGCATTTAGCAGTCAGTACTGCAGTTGCTAATGAAACTCTGTAAATTTGTATGGAACTCCACAATTAAAATTCCATTTAATATGAGATATGCTAATAAAGAATATATTTTTTTAATCTACTAAGTGAAACACCCATATATCAAAAAAAATGTCCAAAGTACATCCGTCTTCCCCACTTCATTTGGTCTTCAAAAATCTGTGTAGTTAAATGAAACTCTGCCTTTTCCAAAGGGCACAATACTGCTAAATAGCATGACCTAACTATGGCCAGCAGAGGTGGCGCTCACAGACACAGTATCTGAATATGAAGCTCTGCGTTCTTAATGTTTACCACAAACCCATCGGAGCTGCGCCTGCGCCTGCAGTTCAGTCAGTTCCTCAACAGTCCTCCAGCTACACTGGCAGGCATACGCTCGGGCCCCTTTCTTCGCTGTCAACTTTGTTTTTAGTTTGTGGAATTCTGGCATGTTGTTCCTGTGGGACAAACAGGAAGACTTAAGCATAGTCTCTTTGTTCAGTGCAAAAAGAAACAATGCAAAAGAAAAAAAGGTTCTATTTTAGTTTCCTTTGTTCTTTTCCAGACTCATACTAGACTATCTTGGTCCCATTATGCCAGCAATAGAAGACATACTTAGTGGTGTCATTTCTGATGGTATTTTTTGGCATTCATCCTTTTTGGAGACAGGGTTTTACTGTGTAGCCCTGGCTGGCCTAGAACTCACTTTGTAGACCAGACTAGCCTCAAACTCACAGAGATCTGCCTGCCTTTGCCTCCAGAGTGCTGGGATTAAAGGCATGTGCCACCACATCCTCTGGCATTCAGTACTTGTGTTTTAAAATTTTTATTTATTTATTTTTTAATATTGGGATATTAGCTTAAAAACCCAAGAACCAATCAATGAAGTTAAGGACTGTTCGTAGCCACCATGTGGGAGCTGGGAATCGAACCCAGGTCCTCTGCAAGAGCAGTTAGTGCTCTTAACCACTGAGCCATCTCTCCAGCCCCTATTATTTTTATTTTATGTGTTTGCGTGTTCTACCTACATGTATGGAAGTGCACTTGTGTCATGCAATACCTGTGGAGGACAGAAAAGGGCATCAGATGTCCTGGAACTGGAGTTCAGATAGTTGTTAGCTGCCGTGTGGGTGCTGGAAATTGAACCCAGGTCTTCTACAAGAGTAGCCAGTGTTCTTAACCATTGAGCCATCTCTAGCACACATTCAGTGCTTTTAAACGGCAACCTTCTAGATTTGATTATTAACACAGTAATATAAAGGGCTGAAGAATCCCTGACTTGACTAGTCAGAGATGATGTAAGGGCAGAGCAGGAAGGATGGTAGCTCCCTTCTGTCTCATACCCACCCATGCCATAAAGGCCTGAGACCAGTGGGGAAAGGCAACAGGCCTCTTATGAACTGACTACAGAACTTTTCATTAACAGGAAAATGAATCTGTTATTTCTGTATGCTGAACTCAGACTGTTTCTTTCATTTCTTTCAATGATTTGCTTATGTAATTACATAATCAGCAACAAAAAGTCTATCCTGAAGTAAAAGTTAACAATGGTAAAAATGATTGAAGTACCACCAGGAGTGGTGGTACATGCCTTTGCACTCTGGAGACAGAGGCAGGAGGATTTCTGTGAGATCAAGACCAGCATGGTCTACATAACAAATTCCAGGCCAGCAGTGGTGACAGGGAGACCCTGCCTTAAAAAGATTGATGCCTCAAAAAAAACTGATGCAACAAGAAAGACCAATATTAAAAATGATAATCATTGGATTTGATTGTATTATAGAAAGAATAAGAAGCTAGTGTAAGTTTAATTACTAAAGAAAATCAAGTATGATATTTATGATTATTTCATATAATAAGTTTATGCATATATTCTGTGACAAATAAATGTGGACAAATGAAAAATAAAAAATTGGAAAAAACCCAAAGTGAAATGATAAAATATAGTATAAATACTAAACAGAGAGAGAGAGAGAGAGAGAGAGAGAGACAGAGAGAGAGAGAGAGAGAGAGACAGAGAGAGAGACAGAGACAGAGACAGAGGCTGCTGCCCAATGCTTATGGTATCTCTACAAGAGAAGGCAGTTCCCCAAGTGCCCTCTGGTGGTCAATGGGCACCACATTCACCAGTACAATGTACAAAATTCAGGCATAATTTAGAAGGTTAGAACCTAACAAAACCTGAGAAATTTTTCTAGGTTAATTGTCTGAGTTTAGGAGAGTGAGCCTCTGACAGCGGTGACTTAGCTAGGGTTACGGAAAACGAGGGGAAGAATCTTGTTTTAGAATGAAAAAACAGCCCGCTCAAACTAAGATAGTAAAATGAGGGAACACATCTTTTCCTCAATCTGCAATATATTTTGCTAAACTCAGCACCTGATACCTGACAGAATACTTAAGAGATTTTAGGAACAGGAGTAATGACTAGCCAGGGAATTCAATTATTTTTCAAGTGCTTTTTAAGAAGAATGCATTTTAAAAGTTAAAAAAAGTTATCCACCATTTTCCTTAAAGAGAAGACATGATTTAATAGAAAAATAAAAGCGTTTCATTAGCTATAGTGGCAGAGTGGTCAATAAATGTAGCCTATGATTCCTTTACAAAACAACTGCACAGCACTGCTGTAACAAACATGCATTTAACACCACTAAAAACAGATGGCTATGTACTGTGGAACATTCAATGGACTCTGAAACCTGTTAGCTTACTACCCACCATTGCTTTCCCTCTTCTCTGTGTTATCATTTACTCTCTGCTACCTTTACTTGGCCACATTCTCATTCTCAAACCAGACCAGCATATATGAAGTCTTCAAGTTCCTCGTCAGCACTCTGGCCCTATCAGTCTCTTACTGCGTTCTCTCTTCTTCCTAACCAAATCCCCTTGCCATCAGCATTCTACTCACATACCTGTCCATCCTTCCCTTCAAAGCATCTCTGTCTTGACAAAATGACTCCTAACTCTTCATTCGCTTCTTCCAAGTTGCCTTTGTGGGTAACAACATTCAATCTCAGGGCCTCATGTAAAGTTTCCTCTGAGGTTCAGAGACAGTTTCAATAGCACCTGAAATTGAATATCTAGCTTCTTCCTTAAAACTCATTCTTACTTCATTAAGGGACAGGATCACAGTCCATCTGTGTAAACAAGACTCATCCTAGATGATGTCTCTCACATTCCACAGCCAGGCCTACCTCTAAAAATCTGTCTTTTTTACTGCCGTGATTCACATCATTTCATTCTCATATTACTGCAATATCCCACCATTAAGCCTTGTGATTCTCTGTTGCCCTGGTTCTCCTACATGGTTGTTAGTTATCCCTTAAAAATTCTCATCTGAAGCTGGGTGTGGTGGCCAATGCCTGTAAACTCAGCTTGATCTACAAAGCAAGTTCCAGGTAAACCAGGGCTGCATAGTAAGACCCTGTCTCAAAAAAACCAAAAAACCAAAAAAAAAAAAAAAAACAAATAACAAAAAACGCCCCCTCAAATCTAAATAGGTCTTTCTCAATTAAAAGCCTTCAGTGGTGATCCACTGTTGAAAGAATTACATTGTAAACGCTGTACTATTGCTCCCCTGGGTCCTTTCGGATCTCTCTATACTACTTTAACTCTTGCTATCAACTGCTCTTGTAGCCCACACTTTATATAGTTCAAACTGCTTTTGAGTCCCCAGGCATGCCATGTGATTTTACCTCTCTGTCTTTAAAGATACCTCCTAAGTGCTAGAGACAGAGCTCTGTGGACACTGTACAACACGGGTGTATTTACATACATGCTGACAATATACTCATACACATAAAATAAAAATAATTTAAAAAGGGAGGGGGAATTGAAGTTAAAAGTTCATTTTCCAATTATGAGAGTAAAATGTGGGCTGCACTTAAGAGTTGGGGCTCTTGACCAGATTCTGGGACTGTACCTGACTTTATTTGGGCTAGGGGCTGTGAAACTTCTGAAATTAGAATTTTTCCATGTGTTTGTATTTTGTTAATGTGTACACATGGGCACATAAGTGAGTTTACTTTCAAACTAAGAGTAGTCAGGGAAGATGCATGATGAACTGCACCTGGGGGAACAAGGTTTGGGGAGGTAAAATGGGGGTCAGGCATTTTGGGAAGTAGGGAGCTTGCAAAGTCAGAGGGCCACCAAGTACTATGAAGTAGCTAAAATCTTGCAAAGGTGAATGTACATTGTGGGAAGACAGAGTTGGAGAGAGGTTGGCTCATGGAGGGTCTTGAATAAGCCAGCTAAGGCATTTGAACATCATTCTCTGAGCAGAAGAGTCCTGGGTAGGACAATGGCATCCTCAGAGCTATGCTTTGATGCTGAGCATGGAAAGAATGGTCTGAACTGAGAGACTGTGGGCACAAAAATCAGAGAGGCTACTCCTGTACTCTTATCTGGAAATGATACATCCTTATTTAGGCAAACAGAAACGAGATGCGATGAATGAGAGAGAAACCAAAAGACTGGACAAGTAGACAAAGGGACAGAACAGCAAAATGAGAAATGAAAAGGGCCTGATGCATTTTTCACAGGGCGACGTTCAAACATACCTGAAGAACAGGTAATCACATGATTTGTCCCACATGCAGTCATTGTAGCTTACTATCCGGAAATCACAAGCTATACAACGCAGATGGTCACATGCTCTGGTCAGAAAGGAAGAAGTGTGTGTAAAAGATGATTGGTATGTTTAGATATGAAACTACAGTGATTTACTCACAGGTATAGCACATGCTCCAGATAACTGAGATTAATCAATTATAACTATCTGTACTACAGGGTTGCTACATGTTTAAGCTTTCAGGTTAATTTTTCACATCTCTCTTACAAAGATCTTGTGTACATACACACATTCATGATTATACATACAATAGAGAAGATGTGTAAATCAAAACATGAGTGATAATACATTGAAACGAAACTGTCTCTCCCGTAAGCCACTTCAGTGCCGGGACCAACACTTGTTTGCTTTCTTCTGGATTACTTGGCATTGGTACTTTCATTCGCCCACTAAAAAATTATTGAGAAACTACTATATGCTCATGAGAGTCTCAGACTCTACAGAGAGATGAAATAAACAGTGTTCACCAGAACTCAATTATGTAGTATGTTAGAAGATAAAAGGTGTTTTGAATGAAATAATGGAGCAGGGAAATGAAAATCAGGAGTAGCAGGAAATGGGTTGGAATTTTGAATAGGGTGGTCTGAATAGGTCTTATTTAGAACACATATTTGAGTAGTTTCTTTAAAAGCTACCCTGAGTTATTTAAGGGAGGGGAAAGAGCACGCTTGAATCCTGATGGCGAAGATGCAGCAAAGAGCAAAATTCCGGTTACACTGGAGAGGACAGAACTGCACATGGTCAAATGTTTCTATACACACAGTGCAGACAAATGACCACAAAGTGAAGAAACCAAAAAACCCAGTGTGACTAGCGTAGGCAATAAAGAACACAGGCTCTGAACACAGTACCTGGATTCAAGAAATTCCTTTGTGACTCAGTTTTTCTTTATAAATTTTCCAATTTTGCCTTTGCTCTTTTCAATAGTATTTGTTTCAATACACTTTTACTGTTTCAGTAGTATGCTTTTACTTTTCAATAATATTTCTGTTACACATGAAATAAAATACAACAAACCCATTAGATTTTTTTCCCCTTCAAAACTCAGACATAGGCCAGGCATGGTGGCATATGCTTGTAAGTACTTGAGAGGTAAAGGCAGGAGGACCATGAGTTCAAGATCATCATTGGCTGTGTAGTAAGTTCAAGGCCAGTCTGGGCTACATGAGACCCTATCTCAAAATTCATATATTACCTTCAAAACTGCAATAATTCTGGCAATCTTTTGTTTAAAAGAATAAATGCCTTATATTTCTATAAATACTATTAATCATAACAATAATTAAGCATTTAAAATGTTTTATATAATTCCTTTTCTTTTAAATTCTCAGTAATTATGAAGTTGTGTTGTACAAACAGAATTTCAACACAATTATTATACACCTGAATTCAGATTCTGAATGTACAAGTCAGGAAATAAAAATGATGGTTCCCAAAGCTACCATAACCTCCTTTCTTATGCATATGTAGTTTATTACATGACCGCACAGTGTTAACTTTAATGCCTTAATACATATGTACAATTTGGCTGAATTATTGCTATTGTGGGAACTATAATTTAGACTTTCCTGACATTCTGTATATGTAACATCTCAACCATAATGTTAAATATAGTTTTTAATTTAAAATTTAGTAGTTTATCAAATCAATTCACACTACCATGTTTTCTTACAACACTGTCCTATGAGAAAAATAAAACCAACTTGCAGCTAAGAAATCATCACAGCACGATGATGTACTCTATTAGATCATAATTAGTACTGGCTGAATAATACTGGAATAATCCAGTCTTGCAAGTAGTTTAAAAAATGTTTTAAGAGAATAATTTGAGTGGCTTGAAAATAATGCTGTGGCTCTATCTGTACCTGTTAATGCCACTACATTTCCAAATCTTCTTCCTCCTTTCTACCTATACTTAAAAATAGCCTTACCCCTAAACTGGAGCTTTATCCAAAAATCAAATAAATAAAAACAAATAAAAACAACATAGTCAACTCCCTTATGTCTGAACATATAAATTAGCACTTCCTTCAGAGCCTAAGAATATTTTTCTTTCAGGAAAAAATTACATATATATGTGCATATAATTATATATATATGCTCCTCACCTTATTATAAGGTCATGTTTTGATAAACCCATGTTAAGTTAAACTGCATGTAACCTATATCTAACCTATAGCATATATCATAGCAACATACTAGACTGCAGAGTCTTGGTTATTCACCTTTGTGACTGAGAGGCTCACCATCTATGACCAGCACTGATAAAGACTATCACACTACATAGTGCTAGACCATAGAAAGATAAAAATTTTAAAATATGACATACAACTAATACTGAATGTGTATCACTTCTGAGCTATTATACTGTAAGTCAAGCATTTGTTAAGCTGGGATCATCTGCAGACAAAAGAAAACCAATATAAAATCATGATTCCAATGAAGGATAAACTTTAAGTTTTTCCTTTGGAGGGAATACACAAAAGAAGATGTTTACACTTCTGTTCAGCTGAAAAATAGAACTGACTTTTTATGGGTTTTTATGGTAAGAACGACCAAAATACAGTTCTTCCACATACAGCCAAGCAGGTTCTGTAGTTCTTAGTTAAATTCCATCAGAGCTACACAATGGGCATGCTGGAGAGCTTCTTTTGTCAACTTGATGTACCTGGGTGGCAGGAACCTCAACTACGGAATTTTCACCATTGCATTGGCTTATGGCCATGTCTGTGGGGGCATTTTCTTGATTGTTGAGTGATGTGGGAGGACACAGCCCACTGTGGGCTGTGCAACACCTGGCTATGTGGTTCTGTGTTGTCTAAGAAAGCAGGCTGAACACAGGCCAGGGGAGCAAGCCAGTAAGCAGTGTTCCTCCACAGTCTACGCTCCACGTTCCTGCCCTGAGTTCCTGCCTTGGCTTCCCTTGATGTACTGTGCTGTAAGCCAAACAAACCCTTTCCTCCCCAAGTTGGTTTTGGTCAGTGATTTTATCACAGCAATGTAACTAAGACAATGGGTTTTCTAGAAAGTCTTGGTATTTGGACAGTTTCAAAATAATAGTGGCTGGCTGGGTGTGGTGCCACATGACTGTTATCCCAGCACTTGGGGTGGGGTAGAGGCAGGAGGATCAGGAGTTTGAGGTTATCCTTGGTTATATAGGGAATTTGAGGCCAGTCTGGGCTACATGAGACCCTATATCAAAGCAACAAACAAACAAAGCCACAGCTACAACTGTCAAGCACCCAAGATTCTTCTATCTTTACATGCAGCACACTGGTATACTACCAAGCACAATGGCAAGGAAGCAAGTTGCCAACCTGAGTCTTGCTTAGTAATAATGGGCATATTACCTGGGAGCTTTTAAATTATTTTGGACAGGATTTTGCTATGTAGCCATGGCTGGCTTGGTTTTATAATGTATTCCAGGCTGCCCTCAAACTTGTGGTAATCCTTCTGCCTCAAACTCCCAATTGCTAGGGTTATAGGCATGAGCTACCATGCTAGGCTATCTGGAAGCTATTTTTTTTTTTTTTTGACAGGGTCTCCCTAGTCCCAGTCCACCTGGAAGTGACTATGTAGACCAGGCTGGCCTTGATCTTACACTGATCTGCCTGCTTCTGCCTCCTGAGGGCTGGGATTAAGGCTCACACCACCATGTCCAATGTTGGAAGCTATCCTGTCTGAAAGATATATATA